AAATCACTGGGAGCTTTTACTTGATACAGAGATTGCTTATGATCCAAGAATGTGTTTGACCTTGATCCAAGGTCTTTCTGGCAAGTTCAAGGTCACTGACAGAAAAGTGCAATATTCTTTTTCAGGTATATCTTTGTCATTGGGTATCACTGGAAGCTCATAATTTGTTCAAAGGTTGTTTTTGACCTTAACATAGGTCATTTAGGCAAGTTCAAGGTCACTGATATAATAAGTGTAAAATTCAAAAAGGTCTAGTCGCCCAAGTGGCGCAGTGGTAAGAGTGTCTGCTCTAGAGTCGTGGATTATGGAGATCCTTACGTCGCAGGTTCGAATCCCACTGTGGGACGCAGAGACTGATCCTTCGGATGAGACCGTACAAACTGAGGTCCCGTCTGGCAGTAGGTGCTGGCACGAAAAAGATCCCTCACTGCTAAATGGCCATGTGTGCCGAGTATAGGTCAAAATTTGCAGATCTCCATCGGCAAATGGTGGCGTCTCCATATGATTGAAAAATTCTCGAAAGGGACGTTAAAGAACATACAAACAAATAAACAAAAAGGTCTATACTTTTGTAAAAGAAAAAATTACATGCATTTGCATTTCACTGAAAAGATGATAAATATATCATCCAGAGTGTGTAATGGCCTTGACTTAAATTCGAGGTCACTTAGAATATGATGTTTTGGATGAATAGTCTGAAAGAATACGTGACTGTGATTTTTTTTTACGTCGGTGACATAAAGATGGTGTTTGCTCTTAACCAGCTGCAGAATGTGTCATGGCTTGACGCAAAGTTATTTGGACAAGTTCAAGTTCACTGACAGGGGAATTCTACATTCCTTTACTGTCTTTCTACTGTTGAAACATTGAAAGTTGATGCCCCTTACAGGATTGTTTATAACCTTAAAATGTTGCATGACCTTGACTCAAGGTCGCTCTGTCCTGTCCGGAGCTCCGACGGAAGACCTATTCGTTGCATTGCAACGAGCTCGGCTCTAGTTTTTTCATTACTGATTACAAGACAAAATTTCCTAACCATTTAAAAATTAAATATACTTTTCTATCGGTCTAGAATAAATCTAAATTCTCGTTATGTGTTAAATCATAATTCTTTTTCAAACAAATTTGTAAGTGCATAGATAAATGAAATAAAATTTCTTAATCGGTAAATAACGAATCGTCCTTGTTTGACATCAATGTAAACTTTGAATATTGAAAACATAGAAAGAATTGTTAATTATCAACTTTGTTGCCTGCTTAATTCGCAAATTGTTTATGAGAAAGGATGCAGAGGGATCTATTATACAACATAAGAACTAAATTACTAATGTTTTGTGTGAACTTCGTATATAGTCCTCTACAAAGACATTGATAAGATAACACAGCAGAATAATATTCATATACAAAATTAATGAGTGTTAACTAAATAACTTATTTTTTATATATATCTGTACACAGACCCTGATATGTCTTCATTTTTCGCAGGGAATTACAATAATGTTGGTCTTAAATGCATACATGCACGTATATTTAATTTAGCCATTTTGTACACAAAGACCAATGCTGGCTCTAAATAAAGAAAAGTCTATGATATTTATATAACATGATTTTCTTTTCCTTAAGAACAACGTCTTCTGAAGAACTGCATGCTAAGGCAATTCATTGAAGAAAAAAAATTATTAATTGTTTTACACGTAGATGCTTAGCGAAAACTTAATATTTTTAAATCGTGTATTATGTTAAACGGAAGGTTACCCCTTTCAAATTTAAGCCCCCTCCCCTCCTTCAAAAAATGGAGAGAAAATAGTTTCTTTCGATATTTAGGTATAATGTACTGATGTGGTGGTTGTCAATACTTCTACATGTACAAACATTTCTTTATACATGCCGTCCATTTCTTGATTTTTATACCCCTACATGCACCATTACTTATCTAAAAAAAAAAAACTGCACTGAAAACTGTCTACTCAAACCATAGGCCTGTATAATTTCAGTTTGGGGCACAAACTTTACCAGAAAGTTAATACGTTCTTAACTAGCAAACCTTAGCAGAAATTACCAGAAAAAAGTTATATATGAAAGATACAGGGCGGTACTGGCTGAACGGCTAAAGCCACGTATATATATACAGCCCTGCACATCAACGAGTATACACCGGGCATTATTTTCCAACAAATCAGATGATCAAATATTGACAAATTGTTACCAGTTACGACTAAAATTCTGAACGCAATGGACATGATTGTAGGTTACCTACAATAATTCTGAGCTTATTTTAATTATGTGTTTCAGGTCAGTAGCAACAGTTTCAAAAGTGGGGGGGGGGGCTTCCATAAAAATCTGACAAGCCAACAAAAAAAAAAAAATAAGAAGAGCATAACCATTTACTTTCACCCCCTGCCCCCCCTCCCCCCCCCCCCCCCGCATTCTACGGGCCGGTGTTTTCCAAATTAAAATACTGTTTTCCCTACCTTTGCTTTGATATTGATTCGTTTTTTCCACCTTGTGTTTACTCTCTTTTTTTATAAATCAATATTCAAACTTAATGTGAAAAATTCTGATACATTATAACGGTGAGAATTATCTTAACTAAAGGCAAAGATGTTTGAAGTAAAATATAGCAAATAGAAAAAAGTCCAGCAATTTCGTCCACTGATTATTATTGATATCAGGCTAAAATCGAAACCAAAAAAGGAGGGGTTCAAAATAGTATCTAAAGCCGAACAAGAGAAAAAAATCATCAAATCTTTATTATTCTTGAACCGTCCTTGCTGGTAATTAAATTATTTTGTCTTGATTTTCACTAGTGTATACTAGTCTAACATACCCTGATTCCTTCTACTAACTAGCAATTGTTGACACCGAACTTTTCCATCATCACTAAAAATAAAATATACTGTTCTGTATACATGTCATGTAGTTCATTTGCATGCCAAATGCAGATCGAAATTTACGGCAGACTTCAAAGGACAACATTCTTGTCACAAAATAAAAAACAGCTGATAAAGAGTCATCAAACGTTTATTTTGAGGGGCGCAACAGGAAATAAGCTTTGTTTTCTATACTGTAAAAAATATGTTTAGGGACGTATGGCATGTCCACTATGCCCCCCCCCTCCCCTAATTTTCTACGGTCCTCAACTAATATTCATTTTCTGACGCTTCAAATTCTAAAACATGTATACATGTGTAAAGGTTTAACATCTTTCGTTGTGACATTATACATTAATCAGAATAATGAATAATTTAATGAAAAAGTAGGGGGGGGGGGGTAACCGGACATTTTCTGTTTGGATGGGCACTAAGTACCCCCCCCCCCCCCCCCAAGTCAATTAATTTGAGGGGTCACACCAGAAACATAAAATGTCTCTGGTCACTCTCAGAAAACCTCTTTGTTTTCTATAGTATACTAATTATCAGCAAATTTATTGAGGAACACCCCCTTTCTATGATTAGTGAGGAACTTCACTAAGGATATGAACTCATAATCACCGTAATAGGGAAATTATATTATATGTAAAAACTTTTATTACCCTCTAACATAATTAACGTAAACAGGTTCCGTTTCCCATAATGCATCGCTCTGCAGAGGCTTTAATTTCATTGGTCAATTTTCACGAGGCGCCATTTTTGGAGTTGAGCAAGACGGAGATGCATGGACTCGGGTGTAAGGTGCAAATGTGAAAAGTTAACGATGTTTTCACCACCCAGTGTCTTTAAAACTATGAAAATGCAATGATCAACAACCAAGGATTAGTGTACGTATATTTTTATATACTTTTTACGGTAAATAATATTAATATTGGGCAGAACAAATCTTTCCCATCGAAGACCACATTCGTTTTGACGCCATTTTGAAAAGTTTGATATCAAAGTTTTAAATATGTTAGTTTACACATTGAAAAAACGGAAAGAGAAACTTGAATTATACAATATTTAGTGTTTTACGTTCAATCATAGGGGTAGACTTTACTTTACCGGTCCCCAGATCCGCAAGATCCGCGCGCTCATTGCACTATGACGTAAGATTTACGTCACTCAACTGATTAGGGTTGGTTTTGCACATTTTTCGACTGGTTAGGGTTAGTCTTGCACCCACCTGAAAGATTAGGGTTAGTCCTTGCATAAGTTTTCGACTGATTAGGGTTAGTCTCGCATATATCCGAGAGATTAGGGTTAGTCCTCGCACATGGGTTAGTCTAGCATGGTCTAGCATCCGCCTGGGAGATTTGGGTTAGTCCTCGCATACCATCCGAGAGATAAGGGTTAGTGTCTTGTTCTTTTAGATTAATTAAGAAATTCAGTTGCATCTGTATTTTTTGCAAGATCTTAATTCAGCTTCAACGACATCTCGTTGGTTTGTTTACATGAAAAAAATGGCTAAGTACGAAAGAAACGGCACTAAGCATGCGCCGCACGCGCTTCGTTCACAATTATTTTTTGTCTCCTTTTCACTGAATAAACAACATTTATTACTTTTTTTCAGAAAACGAGGTTAAAAACTTCGTTTATAAACGAAGTTTTAAACTAAACTTTTAACCGTAGAATTCGAATTTGGGGTCAAAAAGGCTTAAAACCTCATATTTTTTATTTTTTTCGATCGCTCACGCGATCTCATATATCTTGAAGTCGCCTACGGCGACACTATATTTTAGCGCCTTTTTTCTGGGGACCGGTAAAGTAAAGTCGTTCCAATCATAGATGTATAGATAGTAGACTTTGTATAGTTAGGCCCTATGGCACCACATTTGTCTTTTTCCATGCTGTATGTTGTATGTTAACGTTTCGCCTTTGTAGATTTTTTTAAATGAAAATGAATGCTTACTATAATAGTTCTCTCTCTCTATATCGTGCCGTTACCTATTTTCGATAGAATCCTAATTTCGATAGGCTACTTTTTATAACAATCATTCGGAAATCCTGACGTCATTTTTCGGAACGCTTCTCCTAAAATTAGCATCAGACGTAGAGTGTTTAAAAAACCCAAAAAGATCGAAAATTATGCCATTTAGAGAGGTAAGATATTATTTCTCTCTTTATCTATTCAAATCACGCCCTTTTTACATAATGCAAAAAAATCCACCCTAAATACCTTATCATCTAAGCCTGAAAACAACATCTGATCACCCTAAGTTGTCGTCTGTTTAAAAGCTCTGCGTTATGGTCTAAAAATAGATAAGCCTCATTTTGAGCAAACTTCCGCTTTTAAAAAAAAAGTATGGAAGCCCGTTACATGTATTTTATTTTAAATTTCGAGATTTTTCTATGTTTCAAGATTTTGTTTCTGTTGCTTTATTGTTTGTTTCCTTGTAGATATTTTCCATTCAAAGGGGAAATTACAAGAACTATAGTCCAGAGGCTTTGGATAATGCTTTCCAAGCAGTAAAAGGGGGGATGAGTGTTCATGGTGCTGCCAAACGGTTTCAAGTTCCCCTGACAACTTTAAGAGACAGGGTGGATGGACGGATAAGTATTGATGTAGCATCATCAGGACCTCCACCACTGTTTACTCAGGAACAGGAATCTTACATAGTGGAGCATGTGAAGACAATGTCTGAGATAGGATATGGATATACCCGTGCAGAGGTGCTGAACCTTGCCTCTGACTATGCTGTAGATCTCTGTATTAGGGAAAAGGGGAAGGACTTAACAATGAAGTGGTATTATAACTTCATGAGGAGGTGGCCTGAGCTTCATGCAGTAAAACCATCAGGGTTATCAGAACTACGAGCAAAAGCCGCATCTCCGGAATGTATTAGCAAGTACTTTGAAGAGCTAAAAATCATCATTGACAGGTATGGACTGGGGGATAAGCCTCAACTTATATTTAATGTTGATGAAAAGGGAATAAACACAGGTGGGTCAAAGCCTCCAAACATTGTTGCAGCAAAAGGGATGGCAGCACAAGTTGTAACATCTGAGAGGTCCCAAACAATTACTGTTATTGGATGTGGAAACGCTGTGGGGTGCAGTATTCCTCCATTTCTGGTGTTTCCAGGTAAACGTTTGTTACCTGAATTATTAGATGGTGCCACCACTGGCTGTGATGGGACCATGAGTGACACAGGCTATTCAAATACTGAAATTTTCAATAACTATGTCAAGAATCATTTTACCAGATATGCCTCTGGGAACCCCGGTCAGCCGATTTTGCTTTTGTATGATGGTCACAGAAGCCATACATCTCTTTCATTAATCCAGTGGGCCCGTGAAAACAACATCATTCTTTTTGTCTTGCCTCCTCACACGAGTCATCTTTTACAGCCGATGGACGTTGGCTGTTTTGGTCCATTCGAGACTCTTTATCAGCAAGAAGCTCATAAATTTATGCGACAGAGTGTCGGTCGTTCAGTGACAAGGTATGACGTGTGCAGGCTTGTATGCAAAGTTTACGACACTGCCCTTAGTCCTCAGAATTTAAGATCAGCCTTCAGGAAAACTGGTATTTATCCTCTGAATTCATCAACAATTAGTGAAAGCAGGACTTTACCATCTCTTGTATACAAAGGCAAGGTAGACATCACCAAAACTTCAACAACAGCTACTGTTATCTCTGATGAAAAAGTTAATTTTACTGCTGAAAGCTTTTTCAACAAGCGTGGTGGAGAGGTCCTCTTAGCTGTAGAGAAGGCAAAAAAACCAAGAAGAAATCTCAGTTCCATAATTGCAGGGAAAGCCATAACAGAAAAGAATGTATTTGATAAAATTCAGGCATACAATGAAAAGTCGGAACACTCAACAAAAGGAAAAGGGAAGGGAAAAGGAAAAGGGAATGCAAAGCTAGTGGAAAACCAAATTGCAGGTCCTTCTAAAGATACAGCAGGTCCGTCCAAGGTTTCAAATACTTCACGTCCATCAGTTGATTTGTCAGATGAGGAGTCATTAGCTGATGAGGAAAAGTGTTGCGTCTGTGATAGACTGGAGCCTGACCAATTGAAGTTTAAGCCTTACATTGAGTTTGTTAGGTGGGGACAATGCCAATGTGGACACTGGGTGCACCTGTCCTACTGTGTGAAGGAAAAAGTAATCAGAAGAGACACACAAATCAAATGCCCTCATTGTGTTTGACATTTTTATTTCAGTCAATGATTCCTGACTTGAATTTTCAATTTCATAAAATTTCAAAAAAAAAAAAAAAAAAAAAAAAAAATTGAAGAAATTCTATTAAATGTTTTGGTTAATTATTATTTATTTTTGTTAAGATCGTTAAAAAAAATAAATAAACAAACAAACAAACGAACAAAACAAAACAAAAAAAACACAACATATTAATTTAATTTTATGTTTTTATGCCAATTACTGTGCGCCATACTTGCTATCGAAAATAGGTGACGTCATTCAAAACAACTCGGATTATGGCGGATCCAAAGAAAGTTGTAACAGTACTGGAATTCTTATGATTTCAAAAACAAATTAAGGTCAGATATATTTATGTATTGTTGACTAATGACACATAAATAGTTAAGGTGAGAAAAACATATATGCACAGATTAAATTTGTGACTAAAGTTTTACACTATCGAAAACCGGTAACGCCAGGATAAATAAATGAAAAGTGTATGAAATTTTTTTTCGTTGTTAAATCGGATAATAATGTTTGTACCGAATATGGTTTCTTTGCTAATACAGACAAACATATATCCGGTTTGAATACATGTGTTCTCGGAATGCAACTTGTACTTTTGGAGTTCTGGAACTTTTTATGATGTAACGACAAGGTAAAAATGAATTATTTCTCCTACTAAATTACGATTAAGTCATCAATATTTAAACAAAAAGTGTCCGCAATCTCAACTTATCAGATTATTCACGAAGGACATCATCATCGATGGAAATTTAAACAGTTAAAAGAGAGAGTCCTGACTATTGTAAGCCGCCTTTATTTGGCAGATAATATTAGAAATTATGAAGAATCATTAGAACAATTTAAATAGATTGTCTGTAACTAGAGTACATATACATCTTACAAAGTCATAACACAACCCTTATTCATATGCATAATGATGATATGTATAGGGAAAATGTATTGGTTTGTAAGTACTGTCTATAATAATATAACAACTGTTTAACAATCTAGTGATAGATTGTAAATTGAAATAGTTTACTGTTCAAAAGACAAAATTTCTCATTTGTGACCTGCTGAGAGATTTACTGAAAATGTTTTAAATAATAAGCCTACAAGATGTACAAATATTGATCATTTTTGATAGTATTTCAAGTAATGCAAATGAATCATCTGAGTAACAATCATCAGTTATTGATGGTGGTCGCAACATCATAGAAGTCTAATGGTAAAAATAAGTGAATCCTCATTTGTTTGAAATTTTTGTTTGATATATGTTGTATGATAACGATAAATTTTTGTTTATTTTATTCCTCCCTGGTAGTTGTTGAAGTTTTTGCCATTATTAAAAATACTTTTGTTTGATCAGATGTACTCAGGGTTGTCTCTAAGACCCGGGGGCCGAGGAATTTCCCCAACTTTAATGATGTAAATAATCCCCCGGTTATTTTGATATTCCTCCTAAACTCCCCAGTAAGGGAGGAACCCCAGTTCCCCTTCTACGTTTTAAATGTCCCCTTCTATTTCAATTCTTAGGGACAACCCTGTGTACTTCGACCCAAATTTTGTAAAATAGGTAAGTAGGTAGGTAGATTTTTTTTTTGGCAGTATCTAACAAATTGATTTTTTGTCATACAAAAACACAGAATTAGAAATTTATTGATGTTTCATTACACACTGGACAGCTAGACAGGTTTAATATTTATTGCTCTCGTTAAAACAAGTGTCTTGGAGAAATTATAAACCTCAACTTTATAATGAAACAAACTTTATTTCCCTGGAACCCCCCCCCCCCCCCCCAAAAAAAAAATGAAGTAAAATTAAAATACTTAAAAAAATGATTGGGTAGGGGTGATTTTGATGGATCTTTTGGAGTACATCAAACAAATCAGTCATAGCTCACCTGAGCCAATTGAGCTTTTCTGATCAAAATTTGTCTGTCGCTGTCATTGTCTTAAACTTTTCACATTTGAATCTTCTTCTCAAGAACCACAGGGCCAATTTCAATCAAACTTGCTACAAAGTATCCTTGGGTAAAGGGGATTCAACTTTATTTAAATGAAGGACCATATCTTCTTCTAAGGGGAGATAATTACAAATAAATGAAAAATTAATGGCATCTTTTAAAATCTTCTTTTCTGGAACCACTGGGCCAGGAAAAATTAAACTTATTTGGAAGCATCCTCAGGAAGTGTAGATTCAAATTTGTTTAAATCATGACCCCCGGGTGTAGGGTGGGGCCACAATACGTTCTATTTCCACTATGGAAGAGTTATACTTCTTAGTGCACAGTGCCACTCTTTTGTGAAAAAGTCGGAAAATGTACAAATCTCGCAGGATTTCTGGGACAAACTAACATAAACATGTAAACATGGTAAACAATATGTTGAATGTCGATGAACAAATCCTAAGAAAATGCAAATGAAATATTTTATTGTTGTGAACTTTATAAACATCAAGAGTAGGAATGACAACGATATCAATTTATGTCTATTGTTGATCGTATGTATGATACAGTATCTATTTATCGTATGGTACCTCTAAATACAATACCGGTACACATGCCTCGGAAATGTCGTATTTTTTATTAATGGATCATTATGGATGATAAATTTAGGGTTCTTGCTCTCTCACATATGTCTTTTAGTTCTTCTATTCTTTAATTGGAATGACAAATACATTTAACATTTAAAACTGGATTGAGATTGGCAGGTTTGTATTATCCGCAACGCCATGCTGTCCCAGTCAGACGGCCAAACGCGCCTCTAATTTTGAAGAGTTCACTGATGGAAATAAAACGTATTGATGATCAAGTTTTACGTAGGAATACATAGGATAAAATCTTTGAAAATCTTCTTCACTAGAACCACTGTATCAGGAAAGATGAAACTTATGTTGAAACATCCTCAGCTAGTGTAAATTCAAGTTCGTTCAAATCATGACCCCCGGGGTAGGACGGGGCTACAATGAAGGATCAAAGTACATAGGAAAAATCTTAGAAATTTCTTCTATTCAAGAACAGCAAAGCCATGATTTGTCATATTTATATGGAAGCATCTTCAGGTAGTGAAGATGCAAGAATGTTCAAATCATGACCTCCATGGGTAGGATGGGGCCACAATCGGCAATCAACATTTTACTAACAATACTGATACATAGGAAAGATCTTTAAAATTCTTCTCAAGACCAATGTAGTCAAAATTAGTCATAATAATATAAAAGCATCCTGAAGTAATGTAGATTCAATTTATTCAAATCATGACACTCCCCCCTCCCTCCCCAGGAGAATAAAGGGGCCATAACATCGAATCATAGTTAAACAGTAAAACTCATTTAGTACGAACACGGATATTGTGAATTCACGGATATAGCGAAGTTTTCTTGGATCCCCAGCTAAATAAATTTCACTAATTCCCTATTTGGATATAACAAATTAAGGATATAGCGAAGTAATTTCACAGGTCCCAGTGACTTCGTTATAACCGAGTTTTACTGTAAAAAGGAAGAAAAGGAATATATCAATAAAAATTTTCTTCTTAAGAACAGCAATGCTAATATGTATCATATTAATTCAAAAGCATCCTTCGAAAGTATAGAATTCATACCCCCCCCCCCCCTCTGATCCACTTTTATATTTAAACTTTTAAATACAGAACTGATTTATGCTTTTTCCTACCCAAAGTGCTCAGGTGAGCAAAGTGGCACCTAGGACTCTTGTTTATTGTTGGTCTTATAAGTGAAATCAGAATGCAATACAGTGTAGCAACTGTACATAATATATTCTTTCAGAGAGAAGAAAATTGACATTAAAGGAGAACCAGTAACTAAAGATGTATGATGAATCAAGATGTGATCATGTGGTAAGTGGTAATAAATTCAATCATAAATAGGCATGTATGACAATTGCATTAAAAGAAAAGAACTTGATTCCAATTTTAATTGGAATGTTGAACTACCAGCTGCAAACTACAACAGGTTAGGCATAATAAAAAAAAAATGTTTGTTTATGGTTACCCCACCCCCCACCCCCCGACCCAATATCTAATAGCCAACACAATTTTTTTTTCGTTGTAAAAATCCATAAGTCACTCATTCGTCAGTTTAACTTTTACATGCATCTTAATCTACCTACCAACCCTATTTTATTTCAGCATGTAACAGTAAACAAACATATGTTTTTGTTTGGCCTTATGAAATTGTATGGCTTGGAGTCTTTTTCACTTCTCTATAAAATTTTCTGTCTGGATGATGTCTAGCATAATATACACCATGCAGTGAGGATTTTAGTTCACCTGAGCTAAAAACTCGAGTGAACTTTTCTGATACCTTTTGTTTTGTCTTTTGTCCATCAAACTGTCGATCCATCAGTGAGCTTTTCACATTTTCAACTTCTTCTCAAGAACCACTAATTTTAACCAAGGTTGACACAAAGTAAGGATATTTTAAATTGTACAGAGGAAGCTGCCCCCCCCCCCCCCTTCACCCCAAGGGGAAATGATCAACTCTTTCAGATATTATTGATATGATCATTGTTGAGCAACTTATAATTTTGTAACCTGTAGACTTTATTTTAAGAATAATGAATATTTGTTTAAGAGTCCTTTTGTCAAGGTTCAAAGTTCAATTAAAATTATTTTGTGATACATGTATTTGAGGATTCGAGATATCAGGAGTAAAATATTTAAAGAATACTTCCAATTACTTCGACATATCTGTGGTATTCAAGATGCCAAAGTTCAACTGTATGGCTATGCTAAAGTAGTTAATATTATAACTTACTAAAACTTTCTAACATTGAAATATGTTAAATGAAACAAGACAAAAATGAAATATAAAAATTTACTGATTTCTGGCTGGTCAGTATTTTGATGACTGTAATTTCTAAAATATTCAATGAAACACTTTGAAGCTTTAACTGTAGGTATATGTTAACTAAATATACTTAGTCTATAAGATAATATTTATAAATGAGAAGTTTTGAACAAACATTACAACATTCGTGTATG